GGTAAGAAGAATACAAAGTACAGTGAAAGGTGAAGGTCTAGCAGATAGCAATAGCCAGAGAGATAAACAACAAAAATGTGCACTTGAGGGAAAAGGCAACATGGAAATAAATGGTGATCATTTTTTTTTTCTTTAAGTTTCTAAGTAAATCAGGTGTGTTAAGGCAGCAATCCCAGCACTTGTGAGTCAGAGGCAGGCAGATCTCTCTGAGTTTATGACTAGCCTAGTCTACATAAGTTCCAGGACATAAAGAGACCCCGCCTCAAAATTAAAAAAAAAAAAATTGTGAGTAGAACAGTTATCAGCTATGGTAAAGGCTAGAGGCTGACCCCCACAGTAGACTTCTGAGGGGTGGGGTCTAAGAGCTGAGCCGTCAGATGCTAGGATAGGCAGTGATTAAGTGATTACTAAGTATGAGAGGAACTGTGACATGGAGTGGGCCTGCCTGGTGAAGAGCTCTAAGTAGAAGGTCAGTGCACCTGGAGGGACACTAGTCCAGCTGTGTGCATTTTTCTAAAGCTAGAGTTTTGACTGAGGAAGAACTGACTACAGCAGCCAAGGGGAGAAAGGTGAAGATGTGGGGCAAGAAAAATGTCTTCACTTGTGAGGCCCGTGCTCCCTGAAGGCCGGGCAGGGCAAGAAATTTAAGAACGCTATTTCAGCAACGTTTCAACGCATTGATACTGAACTATACATTCTAGAAGGCAAAGAGGAAGGGCTACGGGAGGGCACCATAAGGTCAGAGGACCACTTGTGGTTAGGATGTGAACCAAACCAACCGAAATGTGATTTGCCAGTGGTTATTGCAGAGTCAACAAACAAGTCATACACAAGCTCAGGGCCTTCCGATTACAGCAGAGTCAAAGTTAAGCACACAGAGAACTCGCTCAGAGAAAGCAACACTAATTCTGCCTAGGCACAGCACCTGCCTGGTGGCCCCATCAAATTCCACTAGGCCCCATCTTTTCAAATCCCTATGTCTCACCTTCACAGTGAAGGATTAAGGTTCCTGCATGTGAACCTCTGGGGAACAAAGCATACATTAACCAGAATAGGCCATGACAATAGGGCTCATACACCTTGGCTCTGACAGGAATCTTGGGGTCACACTGCTTCTAGTACAGACAAAAACATAAAAGAAAAGCTGGTCCTGGTGGCACAGGTCTGTAATTCAGGTTACAAAGCAGGCTGAGGCAGGAGGAGGCAAAGAAGTTCACGGCATATGTATCACTGGATATATATATATATATATATATATATATATATATATATATATATGGAAGGCTGTGTCTCACAATTAAAAAAAAAACAGAGCTGAGGAGATAAGAATCACCAGTACTGAGGATAAAGCTTCACATTCAAAAAGGAGCTAAAGGAGCTTTGAAATGACTTGTCCTGAGTCTCATCATACAGCTCTCTAATTAATGGACAGCCACGTGCTAATTATGTAATTTAGGGGACAACATTCACTCCCCTAAGCCCTAATTTCCCAGTATGTAAAATGGAATAATTATAGCATTTAAGCAGGGTCCTTCTGAAGATTAGATAATGTGTACCAAGATGGCATTAACTATCAGCCATTATTAATAGAAGCATATTCCCAAAATTATACAGACCTCCATTTTTCATCTCCATATCAAGATGACAATCAGTTTTCAAAAGTGAGTGTGTTCCAAAATGAATCAGTTCACTGGAAATTTTATAAACCAAACAGTTCCAAGGAAGTTTTGATTAAACAATTATCTTTTCAAGCTGCCAAACATTCCAGTGCTTTCTGGGTTTTGTTTGTTTCACAGTATATTATTGTAAATCTCTGGATGGCTTGGTACTCACTACTTATGCCAGCCTAGCCTAGAATTCATAGCCATGAAGTACTCATCTCTGTGCTAGACAAATTTACCCTTTACCCCCACCACAAAGTCAGTATCTAGCGCACAGTATTTCCAAAGCAACTTGACTATAAAATGCACTGGAGATCTAAAAATACACTTTGGGAAAAGCTAAGAAAAAATACTGATTATGGATGTAAAATGCACAGCAGTTTCTGGAGAATGGCATATGCTCTTCCCATTTCATTTAGTTCCACCCATCAGCTTTCAACAGTGCCTTCCTTTACTCTCCAAACTCAAGACTCTCAGTTAAATAATCCTGAGCCTCTGCAAACTTTTCTTTCATAGATCTTATAGTCATAGGCGCTGACAGAGTAGAAAGGCTATTTGATTAATTTCTGTCACTTCTCCCAGAAAATTTTAAAGTGTATATACACACACACACACACACACACACACACAGAGAGAGAGAGAGAGAGAGAGAGAGAGAGAGAGAGAGAGAGAGAGAGAGAGCACAAAGTTTGGTACAAGACTCTAAATGTAGTCTTTTATGTAGTTCAGGCTGGCTTTAAACTCACAGTCCTCTTGCCTCTACCTCCAGAGTGCTGGGATAACAGGCATACACCACCATTCCTGGCTTCAGGTTTTGTTTTTTTATCCACAGTAAATAACTGTGAAGAACTCAATGTTTATTAATAGGAAACTTGTTGAATAAGTTACTCTATATTTGTGTTATACAGTGTTTTATAATAATTAAAACCCATAAACTTAGCTGAGTGTTGTGGCTCAGGCCTGAAATCCCAGCAATTGGGAAGGTGGGGCAAACTGCCTAGATTACAGTGAGGTCTAGGCTAGTATACAGACTGTCCCAAAAGAACATTTAAAAAAAAAAAAAAAAAAAAAAAAAAAAAAAGGAAATTGTATTTTATCACTTGCATGTTGTATCACACATAGATAATTATAAGTATACATGTAACTGTTAAACACTAACCACACCTGACCCCAGAAGAGTAACCTTTATGCTCTATAAATTTGTTACAATGTTTTTCAAAAGTGTGCACTTCTTTTCTAGTTAATTTCTCTCTCTCTCTCTCTTTCTCCCTCTCTCTGGCTTTTTGAGACAGGGTCTCTTTACATACCCCAAGCTGTCTTGGAACTCAGTATGTAGATCAGACTGGTCTCCAACTCACAGAGTGCTGGAATTAAAGGTGTTTGCCACCATACCCAGTGGTATTAGCAATTCTTCACAACCACTTCCTACCACCATTTCAGAAAGACACATGTGATCTGCACAACCATCTTGACAGAAAGTTAAGAGCAGACATAATACTAACCCAGTATCACAAAGTAAAAAAATTACAGAACTGATGTGAAGTCTCTCTTTTGCTAAATCAGCAGCATGAACTTCTGGGGAGATGTAGAAACTACAGGACAAGAACAACAAGTCAAAGAAACAATTCTACCTGGGTTGAGCTCAGTGAGCCAGTGAGTTGAATTTTAATTATGGTCTCACAAAACAGGAGCAAAGACAACTGGTACAGGCTACCCCACAAAGAAAATGTCTCTCAGCATCAACCAACCGTGGAAAGTTTACATACACTCAGGGAGATGTGATGTCTCATAAGGCCTCACCCACTCCATGACAGACCACTAATTGGCCCAATCCTGTGCAAGTGTCTCACAGGTAATCACAGGTGCCAAGGGTCACTGGCCATGTCACTCCCAGAAGACCATGTTCCAGAATACCAGTATTATTAAACACCATCTCCTCTCCAGTGAAGGAAGCAAAGCTATCTAGACAGAATCAACAATGCAGTCAATTTAATAAGATTTAAACCTCTTTTGATCTTTACCTTTTCCAAACCTGTAAGTGGCCAGATGGCATTGATGATCAGTGACTATTAAAATGGGCCTCTTTCAAATAAGCTCAGAAAATTGGAGGTTAGAATGCCTGGTATGTACCACTTTAGTGATAGATAATTCTCGTATTAAACTGAGAGGTCCTTTGTACAATGACCTGTTGACCATTTTTCTCTACCTACTTCTACTCTATAATTTCTTCTGAAATAAAGCAGGTGGCAGGTTTATGGACCCAGTGCCTGCTCACCTAACGTGAGCCTAACTTGAAATATCCTTCCTTACTCTTCTTTACTGAACTGCCTTTCCCGTTAGCAACTTCTACTGAAATTTGTAATTACAGACCAATCTGCTTAATTACTGTCCATATCACTCAGAGAACTACAAACTCCATAAAGGTAGAATCAATGTTTCTGAGTACTGCCCCCCCATGCACGCACGCACACACACACACACACACACACCATGGGTATAGAGCCCTGCACACATGAAAGGCACTTATCAAACATTTGAGAATCAACGAAAGAGAAAAAGAGTATGAGTTTACTATAGATTGTTTTCTTAATGTTTTAAAATTAATCACCTGCTATATCCCAGATTATTTACTCTTTTATTTTGTTAGCTTCAAAATAATCCTACCAGATTCCTCATCTGAAGCTAAAGCTCACAGAAATTATTAAATTACGTCAAGAAACAAGCTTAGGAAATTTGAACTCTTGTTTATGTGACTATCAACTTTGTTATCTGAAGTAAAGCTGGCTTCCAGACTGACTTAAACCGATTGTCCTTTCTCCATAGTTATGGAGAAGGGGATATCTATCCACGGGGGGTGGGGTGGACAATTCTTCTAATTTACAAGTCATGCTAGATTAAATAACAGCAAGCAACCATTTTTACATAAACCAAACAGTTTGCTCTTACAATCTCAACAAAAACTGAAAAACATTTTGGAGAGTGATGCTACAAACCCATGGGCTTGGGAGTTTTCGAAAATCAGTTGCTGCACAGGTAAAGAGAAGAACTGTAAAGAGACATTCGCGTGGTAATCCAGATGGGCACATCCAAGGGCTCAATTGCCTTGCCCCACCGGTACCTGGATGAAGGCTGCCCTCTCCAATCTTGGCTGATCATAGGATGCATTCACGGAGCACGGCCAAGTCAAGGGCGTGGGAAGAATATTTTAGACAGGATTGCATTGCAGCCAAAACTAACTGGGCTGCAATCCACGCTCGCCCTCGCCAACTGCTCTCATTTCCTCTCTCCCGTTCCCATCACTTTTTTCCTGGAATCGCCCTCAGTACAACAGGAGCCTACCTTGGTCTGAACACTCTTATCGAACTTGTCATTTTTGAAGGAGAATGTATTCTGGTGCTTCTGAGGCCTGGACCGAGCCACGTTGCCTTTCTGGGAACTCATCACCAAATCACAAGCACCTCAAGTCGGTGCAGCCTGGGTTACAGCGAAGAAGAGAAAAGTTCCCGCCCCAGGTTGAGACTATTGACAGTGACCCGGAAGAAGTTCTTCTACTCTTCCCTTCCCAGTCCCCGGGTCGGCCCACGTGACTCATCGCGGAGGTCACGCTCCGCTGTCGGCGCAACGCGACCTCGACCACCCGGGTGGCGGAAAGCCTTCCTCGGACCCAGGGAGCAAGTCCGGCTTGTCTTCGAATCTACAATTCCCCCATTGGCCCGAACGCGGCTGTCCATCACGGCAGAGGGGCGGGGATCCTCCTTTCTTATTGGCTTTCCCTTTGCGCAATCCCCGCCTCCTGCCGAACGCTCCCAGCCTGTCCGCGGCTCGGTAGCTTAGCGACTCCGCTGCGCGGCTTGTGATTGGTGGAAGGAGGGCGAGGCCGGGAGGCTGCCCGCCTGCAGCCCGCAGCCCGGGTCAGCTTGGGCTCCCTCCTCCTCCAGTCGGTGACCAGCGCCAGCCGAGCCGCGCGCCGCTCGCCCCCCACGTCCCTCCCAGCTCCCGCCCGCCGCGGCCGCGCGCTCCGCCGCCTGGCGGGCTTCAGAAGCGCCGAGGAAGGCGGGCCGCGGAGAAGCCAACGCCGGCCCTGCGGTGAGGATCGCGACCACGGGCGCGCGGGACCTCAGGCCGGAGAGCCCCGGCGGCGGCCGCCCCTCGCGCCGGGGCCGTTAGTCAGCAGAACGCGAACGCGCGAGGAGAGGGGGCCACACGAAGCGCGCCCGGCCACCGCAGCGCTCGATCGCTTCCTCGCCCGGCCGGGCCGGGCCGCGCGCGCAGAGTCGGCGGGCGGCGCCCCGCGGAGGACACCGCGTCGGTGGCCGCGGCCGCCCAGCTGCAGGTGCGTGGGACCGGGCTGCTGGGCTACCGAGGGGTCGCCGCTCTGCGCGGGGGTGACAGGCCGGGAGGCTCCGGAGCGGGGTTGCTGAGCGGAGACCGGCGCGTCCCGGGCCTCCATTCCCGCAGGGAGGACCGCAAGATGGGGTCGGGCGCCGCTCCCCTCCCTGGATCTGGGCCACTCGTGGGCCCTCGCTCTCGGCTCGGTGTCCGGGTCCAGCCAACCTCGATTTTATTAGACAGAGTCCTCCGGGAGCTGGAGCAGACTATCCCGCCCCGCCTATCGCGGGCGCTGCTTTCGATGGCTTGAACTTCTGTCATTTCTATCGTCTATGATTGAGTACTCTCGGAGGTTGGGAGTTGGAGAGTCCTGTTTGAAACTATATTTAATACTGACTCAAAAAAAAAAAGTTGTGTCAAATTAGATGGTGTGTGGAGGACGTTCGGAGAGTTTAACCTCAGCTTGTTTTGGGGGAAAAAAAAAAAAACGAAAACGTTCAGAGCCTTAATCGAGGTGAGCTTTCTGTCAAAATCAGAGTGGTGCTCTGATTTAAGGCAATATGAAGCAGCTTTGGTAAGAAAAGATTAGAATAACGGGGCGCGGAAAGGGTGACCTTTAGATTTTGCTTAGTTTATGAAAGGTACTCCTTGTGCAGTCTGTAGTGCTTGATCCCTAAGATGATTTATTCACGTTTTTCAAGGCATCGGTGTATAAAAAGAATGTTGGGCATCTTGGGCCAGCATTTGAAACTACCCACCAAGTCTTGAGTAGGGCATCAGGTGCGGTTTGTGATGACATTCATTTGCTTATATTAACGGGGATTTTTTAGTAAACGAACACCTATTTTGTAGAGAATTTGTGTCAATATGTTTGGCGCATGAATTCATTTGGGTGACATACCTACGTACTCGTAGCCAATACAGTATTTTAAATATCACCATTATTGTCGGTGTCTGTGCTTGTTACTGAATTTTATTTTGGGAGAAGGGGCATTATGAAAAGAAAACGGTGAGGGCAGTCGTATTGGAAGTTGAAAATGGATAAAAATCTCTGTCGTGCCTTTGTATACTTCAGATCTAGGAGGAAGGAGTTAGCACCCTCACCCATATTTTGACCTCTCTTTTCTTCTACTCTGGTATTAATAAGGTTAACTGGAAAGGATAGGATTAGAGTTTCAGCAAGCTAGGCAGCTTTAAATTTGTCCCTTGGTGTACAATACCCTGATTGATATGTGGCTGGTTTCCCTAAGTACCATCATCACCCATTTTGTAAGTGAGAGGACTCCTGAAAAAGCAGGGTCTCCCCCACCCCCGACACACACAACATAAGGTACTAGGACAAGATAATGTTTAGTACCTTAATGAACCCAGTACATTGAAGCAGTTGGTGTCCCATTATGCCACCAAGTTCTATAACTCCAGGCATTCGGTCCTAGTCTGAATCAGTTGCTACATCAGTAATATAAAACTAATAAAAGTGCCACCTGCTTAGAAGGAACACTTGTTGCTTTTGCAGAGGACCTGTATTCCCTTCCCAGGATCCCAAATGGTGGCTCATTACCATTGCTAACTCCAATTCTGGGGAATCTGTCACCCTCTTCTGATCTCCAAGGACACCAGGCCTATACATGCATGTAAATACATGCAGACAAAACATTCATACAACACATAAGAAAATATAAATTTCTTTTAAATTTAAAAAGTGTTCCACCTGCTCAGTTTTTTGTTTTTTAGGAGAAGAGTGCTAATTGACAAACTTTTGTGTGTTTGTATTGGTGTTCTAACAAGTGTAACAATGAAATTTATGATTTATTAGCTTTGTTGATTTATTTATTGCTAGATTTCACTTCTACACTAACTTCGATTTTTCCTGTAATTCTCAAAATAATGTCCCCTTTTTCCTACCGTGTTAGGGGTCTCTCATATACATTGCCTTGTCTGTACCAGCCTTGTGAGCTTTTACAGATTAAGTAGACCAGAGAAATTAATTATTTAAATTGCCTGGAGTTAGTAAGAACCGAGACTTGAACCCAAATCTTTTGACTTATCTTCAACCCTTGGTGTTGAAGCAGTCTTCGATACCACCATATCTATACCCATACCATGTCTTTAGTCTCTGTAAAATCACAATATAGCAGTATCACTGTGGTGTCATAAAATGTAATGAGGATCCATGTGCCTTTCATCTACTTGAAACACAATTGCAAATCAAAAGAATACTTTCCCTGTATCTTGTAAAATTTCCCAAGTCCTATGATCTTTCTCCCACTCCAACCATTACCCTTAAATTGCCTTGCCTCCTTCTGTCAGTGTTCATATGATAGCATATAGATCCCTGAACATACATGCACATACATACATGTATTTAATTTTGATGATCTTAAGTTTATTCAAGCATGGCGTTTATATCTTTCTGAAGCTTGTTTTCTTAATTTGACCAGGATTCACCCATATTTTTTCAAGTATTTCTGTTTCATTTTCACTGCTATATCATACAAATGTTCTGTGGCCAACTTGAATGAAGATAATGCTATGGAGCTAGTCTTGGTGAGAAGATCAGTAGTTCAAGGGCAGCAGAGAACACACAGTGAGTGCCTGACTCTACACCACTCCAGTGAAACCAAATCAGAAAGAGATAATGTTGCTCCAAATCCCATGAGTTTTAATGGCTCTACTAGACATTCACTGGGAGAAGGAGGAAAAACAAGACCAACTCGAATGTCATATATTTCTGAAAACTACTCAATGTCTAGTTGTATTGTTTTAACACAGATGATGACATTAATTTTATCTTGTGTGTAAGGGAAGACTGTATTTGGTTTTGCCTGAAATTTAAAGAAAGTGTGGTAATTTGAAAGTAATTGCCCCCCCCCCCCAATAATGGCACTGTTGGGAGGTATGGCTTTGTTGGAGTAGGTATGACCTTGGAGGAAGTGTGTCACTGTGGAGGCCTGCTTTGAGGTCTCATATATGCATGCTTAAGCCATGCCCAGTATCTTAGTTCATTTCTTGCACATCAAGATGTAAATCTATGAGCTCTTGAGCACCATGCCTGCCTGCATACCGGCATGCCCCACCATGATAATGGACTGAAATGAACCTCTGAACTGTAAGCCACCCAATTAAATGTTCTTCCCTGGCTTTGTCTGGAATGGTTGTGCCAGTAATGAATGTGATAGGTTTTTCACCTTATTAATACTCTAGAACTAGTTTTTTGCCTTTCTGAGAGGATGGAATGGCACTTTGATTCCAATTTCATTCACATCTCTCAATTATTTTTATTATTAGTGATAGTTTGATTTATTTGTTTGCCATATGTATTCTTTTTCTGTGTTTTTTGTTGTTGTTTTGGTTTTTGGGGGGGTTGCTTAGTTTTACTTTATTTTCTGCATAACAGATTAGGGTTTTTTTGTTTGTTTGTTTTGTTTTTCTCTTTTCCCCTCTTGGTTTTTTGAGATGGGGGTTTCTCTGTGTAACAGCCCTGGCTTTTCTAGAACTAGCTCTGTAAACCAGGCTGGCCTCAACTCACAGAGATCCTCTTGGCACTGCCTCCTGAGTGCTGGGACCAAAGATATGCACCACCAATGCCCAGCCCTTCTTCCACTCTTTAGAGTGGCTTTCACTTTGAATATCATTTTACTAAAATTTCTAATTCAGTGATTTCATTTATTTAATGTTTGAAGCAGAGTCTTAATCTGAAGCTTGGGCTGGCCTCAAATTAATAGCAGTCTTCAAGTTAGTCTACCAAGTGCTGGGATTGTCACCACACCTGTTTAAAATTTTTTTATTTTAATACCAAATTTATCATACTTCGGTGTTTTCACACTTGGATCTTGTGATGGTATTGTTGTCAGTTTAATAGAATCTAGACTCACTGGGAGATGGCCCCCTGGGCATGCCTGGAGGGGATCACCTTGGTTGTGTTGATACTGGAGCACCCATCCTACTTGCAAGTGGGACCATTCCTTGGGCAGGGTCTGTTAAAAAATGAGCATAGTGAGGGAATCAGGCACCCGGGGGTGTTTACCTCTCTGCTTTCTGATTGTGAATGAGTGCAGTGTAATTGTTGCTTTAAGCTCTTGACATGATGACTTCCCCTCCACAATGGATGGACTATATATACCCTTGAACTGTGGGCCTCAATTAACTTTCTCCTTTAGCTGCTTTGGCCAATAGTACTTTATCACAGAAAAGTGTCTAAAGTCTGAAATCCATG